AGAACCCCAAAAATGGGGGGAAAACCCCCAAAAACCGGGGGGGGGGTGGAAATGGGGGAGGGGACCCCAAAAATGAGAGGGGGGGGCCAAAATTCCCCCTCCCCCAGCCCCGCCCCCACACCTGGAGACACCTGGGGGGTACCTGGAGACACCTGGGGACACCCGGGGGGTACCTGGGGACACCTGGGGGGTACCTGGGGTCACCTGGAGACACCTGGGGTCACCTGGGGTCACCTGGGGGGTACCTGGGGACACCTGGGGACACCTGGGGTCACCTGGGGTCACCTGGGGACACCTGGGGGGTACCTGGGGACACCTGGAGACACCTGGGGGGTACCTGGGGACACCTGGGGGGTACCTGGAGACACCTGGGGTCACCTGGGGTCACCTGGGGGGTACCTGGAGACACCTGGGGGGTACCTGGGGGTCACCTGGGCTCACCTGAGGATTCTGGGGGTCACCTGGGACTCACCTGGGGCTCTAGTTGATGGCTCTGGGGGTTACCTGGGGCTCACCTGGGGGTTATCTGGGGGTACCTGGGACACACCTGAGCTCACCTGTCCCCCCAGATTACCTGCTCTTCTCGGAGATGCTCCTGCAGCATCTGGGACTCACCTGGGGGGTACCTGGGGGTCACCTGGGGGTTATCTGGGGGTACCTGGGACACACCTCTCCTCACCTGTCCCCACCTGTCCCCCCAGGTTACCTGTTCCTCTCGGAGATGCTCCTGCAGCATCTGGGGCTCACCTGGGGGGTACCTGGGGGTCACCTGAGCTCACCTGTCCCCACCTGTCCCCCCAGATTACCTGCTCTTCTCAGAGATGCTCCTGCAGCATCTGGGACTCACCTGGGGGGTATTTGGGACACACCTGAGCTCACCTGTCCTCACCTGTCCCCCCAGATTACCTGCTCTTCTCGGAGATGCTGCTGCAGCGCCCCCTGGGCGGGAACCCCTCTGGTCTGGGAGCTCACCTGGGCTCGGCGGCCCCGGGCTGGGCTCACCTGGGGGGCTCACCTGAGGGTCACCTGCGGCCGGAGGAGCGCGAGTACATGCGGGGGATGGCGGCGCGGCGCTTCCCGCACATGGTGCAGGTGCTGCGCGCGCTGCCCCGCCCCATGCTGCTGGTGTTCCGCTGCATCAACACCGTGCGCAGCGTGCACGCCGCCCTGGGCGCACCTGCCGACAGGTACGG